GGGGGGGGGGGGGGGGGGATGTGGGGAGGTTGTTAATCTGTCGAATTTGGGGATGAAATTTGCGGTACATTGGATTGATAATTCATTATAGGTGGTATATTTTGTAACCCTTTCAACTGGTAAGTGATTCCATCTCATCTTCTTCGTCATTGTTAATTTGAGTTTCTGTTAAAAAAAATCTATACAGTGCTCGACTACTAGTGTATAATAGGCCATTATTAGAATAGACCACTAGTTTACCATAGACTAATGAGAGATTATATATTAGTATGTGGTTTATATTTTGGTGGATGAGTTGAGGGGCCAACTAGTTGGAATTGGAATTCCTATACAAAGGTTACAATACATATCCATATACCTAGCAATTGTACATTTGACTATACCTAGCAATTGTACATTTAACGAATTTGTTGATGTCGTCATTAAATGTGGAAAACTAACATGTTCCCCGAGATATTTGAATATTACATATATGCTTAGCTCTATGCCGAAGAGGGACATGATTCCTCCTTCCTTCAGTAAGAATGACAATGATTTGCAATTGTACCTCATGGATGTTACAATTAATGGTAGAAGGCCTTGTTTGAATATATTTGTGGTTGAAAATGAGTTTGAAGAAGGGGTTGAAGTTTCTGTTTAAAGGTCACATCAAGGTTCAAATGCCGCACCGCCACCACCACCAATACAACCACCAATTTTAGAAGTAGAGGAGGAAAGAATGATGAAAGATGGCTCTAGTAGATTTAGTAATGACTTGCATGATTTTGGTGACAGTGAAATAAACTTGTACGGTTCGGAAGATGCAGATGGAGCGGAAGAGCTCACATATATTGTCAGTCGGGCAGTTGGAGATGAAGGCTTACTGGACTTGTTAGCTACACAACACAGCCACCCTGATGGTACATATTTTTTCCTTGGGAAATATTTCGACAACAAATTAGATCTAGCGTAACAATTGGAGGTTGCTTATGTGAAATGCATTTTATGTTTCGTATGAAGAAGAGTAGCAGTAAATTACCTTTGGTTCCATACCGAGAAGTGAGTTGCCGTGAAAGTTATACGCTTTAAAGTACAAGAGTTCTGATAGGTTTTATATTACCAAGTACCATGGCGAGCACACATGCGGGGTACAATACATATCAAGTTATCATCCTAACGCGTCGTCGAAGACTTTGGGTTCATATTATCAGGAACAATATGTTAATGGAAAAGGCCCACTATATTTACAAATTTTAACCGAAATTTTACTTATTGGATGAGCTGAAAGGTAGGTGAAATAGCTAAGGCTATGATCATGGGTACTCAGGAAGAGGGGTATGCTTTATTGGAAGCGTATCACCATGTTATGTTATCCTATAATGAAGGAAGTATTGTTGATTTGAAGGTTGATAATAAATTACATTTAGATATTTTTTCTTATCTGTTGAAGCTTTCATTATGGGATCCAGGCATATGAGAAAGGTTATTGCTGTGGATGAGATATTTCTGAGTGGCAGGTATGGATGTTGCTTGTTGTCTGCTGTGGCACAAGATATAAAGAATCACATGTTTCCAATTGCGTTCTGTATAGTCAATAAAGAGAGATGATTGTTGAACCTACTTTTTTGAACAGTTATGGTAAATTGTTAATGAGAGTCATGAATTGTGCATTATCTCTTATCGGCATCTGTCTATTGGGAATAGTTTCAAAAACGTTTTTGCTACCGCCCATCATGGTTTTGCATGCATCAAACTGCTGAAAATATGCGCAAGAGATTTCATTATGGAATTTTTATTAAGCATTTCTTTTCTGCTGCACAGTCATACAATATTCAGGAATTCTTTGACCATTTTCAGCATTTGCATGATAAAAAAAGGGAAGTTGCTAACTGCCTCGCGAATGAAATTGGGTTCCAAAAGTGGAGCAGGGCCTTCTAACTAGGAAACCGATACGGCTTGTTGACAACAAACATTGTAGAATCGCTTAACGCAATGCTTAATAATCAAAGAGACTTCCCCATCATTGGCATATTCAATCATATTGTTTGAAAGTTTGCAGAAAAATTCGAAGAGAGGCGTACTGAAATGAAAAAAGTTTTGACCTCTTTGTTTCTTCTGCTGAAAAGAAGATTAGGAAAATATGGTTATTGGCGATATGCTCCGGGTGCATCAATTAGAGAACAACCAATTTAGCATCACCGGTCACAGCAGGGATGCAATAGTTGATCTGGATTTGAACACATGCTCTTGTTGTCAGCTTAATTTGGA